CCTACCCACCTACCCTGTACCCGCCACGCCCTGTACCGTGGGACGCTGGTCTGAGAAGAGAGAACACCACAGTCTCGGAGCGACGAGAAACACTCATGGCAGACACCACCCAATAAGATGCCAAAACCGAGACAGCCATCTTCGTTTCTCCTTTCTGGGGCAGCAAGACTCTGTGGCCCGCCAATGGCAGGCACAAGCACACAAGAAGCAGAGAAGACAGCATGCCAAGGGAGCAGCCACGGCATGCCCCTGACATCCCGCCACCACAATCGCCGGGCCTCCCACCACCATCCGCGCAAGCACCGCGTGCGCTCATATGTCCGGAAGCCCCACCTAGCATACTTCTTTTTTTTTTTTGAGACAGGGTCTCACTCTGTTGCACAGGCTTGGAGTGGGGGCGCTGCACGATACAGCCCGGGCAGCCTCAACGCTCTCCCTGGCCCAACAGCAACCCTCCTGCCTCAGCTCCTTGGTAGCTGGACGAATAGGCACGCCCACCAGCGACTAGATTTATTTTTATTTTTAGTAAGAACAAAGTCTTCTATGTTGCCCAGGCTGGTGCTCACACTCTGAGCCTTTAAGTGATTTCCTGCCTCAGCCTCCCAAAGTGCTGGGATTACAGGCGTGAGCCAGCTGTGCTGGGCTTCTACAAAACAATACTTGTTTTACCTTTATTTTGAGATGGAGTCTCGCTCTCTTCCCAGCTGGATGAGTAAGTTGCAATCTCCGCTCACTGGCAACTCGCACCTCCCAGGTTCAAGTGATTCTCTTTGCCTTCAGCTCCGCTAGTCAGCTAGGATCACAGGCATGTGGCCAGCGATGCCTGGCTAATTTTTGTATTTTTAAGTAGAGACGGGGCCTTCCGCCATGTTGGGCAGGCTGGTCTTGACTCTGACCTCAAGTCAAACTGCTGGCTCGGCGTAATCCCAAAGGGTGGCTGGGATTACAGGCGTGAGCAACATCACGCAGCCCGCTATTTAATTTTTAGGCTGGGATCTCTCGTCCTGTCACCGCAGGCTACAGTGGAGTCGGCATGATCATAGTTATCAGTAATCTTACATTCCTAGGGTCAAAGCAATGCTTCCTGCTTTGGCCTTTTGAGTTAGGTCTAAGGACTAGAGGTGCAATACCAGTATGCGCAGCTGATTTTTTTTTTTTTTTTTTTTTGTAGAGACAGGGTCTCACTGCATTGCCTAGGCTGGTCTTGGACTCCTGGCCTCAAGTGATCCTCCTGCCTCAGCCTCCCAAAGTGTTGGGATTACAGGAGTGAGCCATGGTGCCTGCCCCTGCCCTTCTTTTGAAGCCCTACAGCTCCGCCCAACAGCTTCTCACTGAGTAAGCCGACACTGAGCATCACTGAATATCAGGCCTTCTCAAGCCTGTGGCTTAGAGTCTATGTCTAGATTGGGCAGGGGCAAGAGTGAGCATCTGGCTGAGCCTACACTCAGCAGGTTGTGGGCCAGGGGTAGCCAGGCCTGGCTCCCTGTCCCACCTTGCTCCCTATCCACAGGTGACAACCAGGGCATCCCCATCATGTCCAGCATCAAGCTGAAAGAGGAGCAGCGCATAACGACCACCTCCCCCTGGATGTTTCCCTCTCGCATGGCTTGGCCTGAGGACCACGTGTTCATTTCCACCCCCAGCTTCAACTATACAGGCCGTGACTTCCAGCGCTTCTTTGCAGACCTGCACTTTGAGGAAGGCTGGTACATGTGGCTGCAGTCACGTGACCTCCTGGCAGGCCTCCCAGCGCCTGGCGTGGAAGTATACTGTCTTTATGGCGTGGGCCTGCCCACACCCCGCACCTACATCTACGACCACGGCTTCCCCTACACGGACCCTGTGGATGTGCTCTATGAGGACGGTGACGACACAGTGGCCACGCGCAGCACTGAGCTCTGTGGCCTCTGGCAGGGCCGCCAGCCGCAGCCCGTGCACCTGCTGCCCCTGCGTGGGATACAGCATCTCAACATGGTCTTCAGCAACCAGACCCTGGAGCACATCAATGCTATCCTGCTGGGTGCCTACCGCCAGGGTCCCCCTGCATCCCTGACTGCCAGCCCAGAGCCCCCGCCTCCTGAATAAAGACCTTCCTTTGCTGCCATAAGCCCTGATGTGTATATTGCAGGTTGAAGGGAGGCACTAGAGTCCCACACCAGGTTTCACTCATCACCAGCCACAGGCTCAGTGCTGTGCAGAGTGGGGCAAGGTGGGCTCTGCTGAGGCCTGGGACTGAGGTGGGCACCCTAGATGTGCAGCTGTCCACTCCTGGTTGAGCTGTTGAGGCAGCGTGCACCAGGCCTGCCTCAGTGCTGGGCGTGGGGACTGGAGCTGGCTGCATCCACCAACCCTGTCAGAGGAGTACAGGGAGGGGATGATTTGAGCTGTCCCTCCCAGCTCCCAAAAGGGCAAGTGGGACAGCCTTTTGAGTGCTGGGTGAATGACAGGGCCACAAGAGTTTAGAAGCCAGGCACAGTGGCTCACGCCGGTAATCTCAGCACTTTGAGAGACCGAGGCAGGCGGATCACCTGATCTCAGGAGTTTGAGACCAGCCTGGCCAACATGGTAGAAACCCCATCTCTACTAAAATACAAAACATTTGCCAGGTGTGGTGGCACACGCCTGTCGTCCCAGCTACTCTGGAAGCTGAGGCACGAGAATCATTTGAACCTGGGAGGTGGAGGTCACTGTGAGCTGAGATCATGTCACTGCACTCCAGACTGGGCGACAGAGTGAGACTCTCAAAAAAAAAAAGAGACTGGGTCTCAAAAAAAAAAAAATTTAGAATTTGAATCTGGGAATGACAACCATTAATCAGATCATTTCACTAATGAAAGTTTAATTACTAATGAAGCTACATGCTCTGAGGAAAGCTTAGGGAGCACAAGAGGCTGAGTCTTTTGGGTCAGCAAAGGCCTCCCAGAGGAGGCAGTGCCTATACTGAAGTCAGAGAGACAAGAAGAGTAATGGACCACTGTAAAGACTTGGGTTTGACTTGATTGAGCCCAGGAGTTCGAGACCAGCCTGGGCAATATAGTGAGACCTCATCTCTACAAAAATTTAAAAAATTAGGCCGGGCGTGGTGGCTCATGCCTGTAATCCCAGCACTTTGGGAGGCCAAGGCGGGCGGATCACTTGAGGTCAGAAGTTTGAGACCAGCCTGACCAACATGGAGAAACCCCGTCTCTACTAAAAATACAAAATTAGCCAGGCATGGTGGCGCATGCCTGTAATCCCAGCTACTGAGGAGGCTGAGGCAGGAGAATCGTTTGAACCCGAGAGGTGGACGTTGCGGTGAGCCGAGATCACGCTATTGCACTCCAGCCTGGGCAACAAGACCAAAACTCCATCTCAAAAAAAAAAAAAAAAAAAAAATTTTTTTAAAATTAGTCAGGCGTGGCCACACTGTAGTCAAATCTTTCTTAGGGAGCTTGAGGTTGCAGTTGAGGGCCAAGATCGCCTTGCCATGGCACTCACCAGCCTGCGCAAACAGCATAAGACCTTGTGTCAAAAAAAAAAAAAAAAAAAAAAAAAGTAGTTGCCCTGGCCCGGGTGTGTCTCAAGCCTGTAATCCCAGCACTTTGGGAGGCCGAGACGGGCGGATATCGCACGGACGTTCAGGAGATCGGAGGACCATCCTGGCTAAACACAGTGAAACCCCGGGTCTCTCCTAAACGATATAAAAAAATTAGCCGGCAGTTGGGGGGTTGGCGGGCGCCTGTTAGTCCAGGTACTCGGAGCTGAGACAGGGGAGAAATTGGTGTTGAACCCCGGGAGGCGGAGCTTGCAATTGAGCTGGACGATCACGGCACTGCACTCCAAGCCTGGGCGGACACAGCAAGACTCCGTCTCAAAAAAAAAAAAAAAAAAAAAAGTAAATAGGCCAGGCACAAACACCAACCATGGTAGGTTTCATGGTTGTAAGCCAAGCACTTTGGGGAGGCTGAGAGGGGGGGTGGATCCGCACCTGAGCTCAGGAGTTTCAAGACCCAGCCGGCAAACTATGGTGTAAACCCCATCTCCACAAAAAAAAAAAAAATACAAAAAATTAGCCAGGCATGGGGTGGTGTGCCTGTGAATTCCCAGCTATTCAGGAGGCTGAGGTGGAAGAGTGCTTGTGCCTGGGAGGCAGAGGTTCCAGTGAAATGAGATCGCACCACTGTACTCCAGACTGGGCGACAGAGTGAGACCCCGTCTCAAAAAAAACAAAAAAAAAAAAAAAAAAAAGTAAACCCTTTGGCAGCTGCGTGCTGCTCTTAGGCTCAAACCTAAGTCTTTTTTTTTCCCCTTTTGAGATGGCGTCTGTTGCCCAGGCTGGAGTGCAATGGCATGATCCATACTCACTGTAGCCTCGAACTCCCGGGCTTCCAAAGTGCTGGGATTACAGGTGTGAGCCACCAGGCCCAGATTGCTGAAAGGTTTAAACCAGAGAAAGAGTGTGACCAGATTTCCAATTCAGAAAGACCCGCTCTCTGCAGGGTAAGGTGTAGCCTGAGGTAGGGGGCAAGAATCGCAAGGTAATCAGGGAGGCCAGTGCAATGTCCAGGTGGGAGAGGTTGCTAGCTGAGACGAGAAGTGCTAGGAGAAAGATGTGTGCAGACAAGAGGTCACTGGGGAGGTGAAATAACAAGGCTTGGCCGTGAGTGGAACCCAGCACCCATGGTGCCCATCTTGAGAGGGGGAAGATGTCACCTGAGATGGAAGATGGAAAGACCAGGGTCCCTGTGGCTGAGGACTGAGCCTGTGTTTGAGGTTTCACAGAGGAGTGAAGGCAACAAAAGAGGCAAGAGTTGGAAGAAAGGTGACAAGGAACAAAAGTCAGCCATGCCTGATGCTACTGGGTGGCCAGCAACAATGCAGACTTGGCCAAGGCTCTGAGAGCTTTATTATGCTGGGACTGGAGGTCAGAGTTGAGGCTAGGGTAAGAGCAGGGGGCTCAGATGGAGGGGGAGGAGGACCTGAACAATGTCCAGAAGGGAAGAGATTTGAATCTCTATCCAACAGAGGACCCTGTGAGCAGCACAGAGGGCACAGCAAGGGACATCCCCCGGTTCTCCAAATGCTCAGAGCCACAAGTGAAGCCGAAAGTGAAAGACAAGATGCAGAAAACCGCCACGGGCCTTTGAAGGGTAAAGGCGAAAGCGAAAGCAGGAAGGAGAGACGTCGAGCCTAGCAGAGGACTTTTTAGTTCCTCACTGGCCCCACTTGTCTGACCGACTCATCCACCCGCGACCCCTAATCCGCTCTGCCTGCCCCAAGATGCTGAAGCCAGCCTTGGAGCCCCGAGGGGGCTTCTCCTTCGAGAACTGCCAAAGGTGAAGCGGGGGCTGGGGAGGGGACGATCACTCCTGAGTCACCTCTGCTTGGTCGTGGCCTTTTTTCCTGGCTGGGGGTGGGTGTGTTGGGCAACTTGGGTTCCAGGCTTACCCCGGAAGATGAGGGAGACGGGGACCAGGTTAGGGGAAGCAACAGGGGTACTGGAAGCAGAGCCGAAACCTGGGCGCTCTCCTCCGTTTCCAGAAATGCATCCTTGGAACGCGTCCTCCCGGGGCTCAAGGTCCCTCATGCACGCAAGACCGGGACAACCATCGCGGGCCTTGTGTTCCAAGTGAGCAGCGGGGAAGGACAGGGGAGCTGGAGGGGAGCCGGGAGTATCGAGCAGGCACTGAGGCTGCGGTCCCTCCCTCTCCTCAGGACGGAGTCATTCTGGGCGCCGACACGCGAGCCACTAACGATTCGGTCGTGGCGGACAAGAGCTGTGAGAAGATCCACTTCATCGCCCCCAAAATCTAGTGAGACTCACCAGCCCAGTTCCCTCACGCAAAAGAGAACGGCCCCCTCGTTCCCACTCCGGTCCCGGCACGTGCCAGTCCTGCTCACACCGATCCTCCCTTTTCCCTCAGCTGCTGTGGGGCTGGAGTAGCCGCTGACGCCGAGATGACCACAAGGATGGTGGCGTCCAAGATGGAGCTACACGCGCTATCCACGGGCCGAGAGCCCCGCGTGGCCACGGTCACTCGCGTCCTGTGCCAGACGCTCTTCCGGTGCGGGGGCGGGGCTAACAGGATCCCCGGAGGGGTCGTTGCCGGCACGGGGCCGATGGAAGGCGGGACAGAAAGGGGGCGGGGCCGCGACGGGCCAGGTGACCGGAAGAGGCCAGCCCAAGAGAAGCTGGGCTATCGGAAAAGGCTATGTCAGTCATCGGGCGCCACATCACAGGAAGGGGCGGGGATAGTACCTAAGGGCGGAGGCATAGAGGGGCGGGGCCTAGGCCCCCGCTTGTGACCGACCCCGCCCATCCTCGAGCAGGTACCGGGGCCACGTGGGTGCATCGCTGATCGTGGGCGGCGTAGACCTGACCGGACCGCAGCTCTACAGCGTGCATCCCCATGGCTCCTACAGCCGTCTGCCCTTCACAGCCCTGGGTGAGCACTTCTGTCCCTTCTCCTCGAATCCTGCCCCTGTGACCTTGGCCTCACGGTTGTACTCCATACTGGGTGGCCGCGGTTGACTTCAGATGGTTCTCCTGCCTTCAGGCTCTGGCCAGGGCGAGGCCCTGGCGGTACTAGAAGACCGGTTCCAGCCGAACATGACGGTGAGCGGCCTCTGTCCCCGACTATGTGGTCGCTGGTGGGATGTGCACCCGGGAGCTGGGGGAGCACAGGACCCTAGCCCGGTGTGGAGGTGGGGGAAGGCTTGGAGGTGGTGACCACTGAAGGGTGAGTGGAGTAAGGGCAGAGAAGTGCGGTCCTGGCACAACACCGTCCAATACCAAAGCCTGGACGGTTGGGAGAAGTCGAAGCTCACAGAGGATCTTTTGGAGCCGGGGGCGGAGGGAAGGACCAGTAGGGTCACACTTATATCAACGTCTGGAGCCTACATTTTGTTTGGAGTGGGATGGAAGCAGGTGATATTGCCTCAGAGGGAGAAACACAGTGGGGGTTTGGGGTGCAAGACCAGATTGGGTGAGTGGACAGGCAAGTCCCCAGGCTGTAGCCTAAGTTAACAGCAGAGGGCCCGTCAGGCCTCACACACTCATCACCGCAGCTAGAGGCCGCTCAGGGGCTGCTGGTGGAAGCCATCACCGCCGGAATCTTGGGTGACCTGGGCTCCGGGGGCAATGTGGACGCATGTGTGATCACGAAGACTGGCGCCAAGCTGCTGCGGACACTGAGCTCACCCACAGAGCCCATGAAGAGGTGAGTGCTGGAGATGGGGTACCACAGGGATGTGTGGGGCTGCAGCAGGGGAGATGGAGGGCTGCAAGAAGGGGATAGGCCACATGACAGGCCCATGTTCAGAGGCCGTCCCTCCTCTCTCCCAGGTCTGGCCGCTACCACTTTGTGCCTGGAACCACAGCTGTCCTGACCCAAACCGTGAAGCCACTAACCCTGGAGCTAGTGGAGGAAACTGTGCAGGCTATGGAGGTGGAGTAAAATAGGTTGAAGCTTAGAGCTTGGAACAAGGGGGAATAAACCCAGAAAATACAGTTAAACAGATGGCTGTGTCATTCTTGAGTGGAGTAGGGTGGGCAGGCAGCCAGCAGGGCTCTGTAGCTAAGGCGTCCCTGCAGGGACCATTACTTCCCATAGCTCTAGTGTCTGGCTTAAGAGATGCTCTTCACCCATCACCTCAGGCACCTACAGCTCCAGAACCCCAGCCCTGGCCAGCATTGCAGGCTTGATCTCCATCCAAACCTTCCTTCTGACTCCACACCTTGGAGGCTCCCCCATCACTCCACTGCCTTGCTCTTGCCCTCTAGTCCACTGGAGACTTGTAAAACACAAAAGACCCCATGACCCCTCCTAGGGACTTTCCATGGCTCCTCAGTGGCCCAGGACAAAGCTCATACCTTTCAGTAAGGCCTCACTGAGGGCTAAAGTGCTGACAAGAGGAGCCACTCCCTGACTCCAAGGCAAGTTCTCACCAAGCACTTCTCAACCTCACAACATCTTTACTGGTGACACCCCTCAGATGGCGAGGCATGCCTGCACTGCTCACCTGAAGCTTGGCTTCTGTCTGCACATGCTGGGCTTGTGACTCCAAGTTTTCCGGGTTAAGAAGGCTCACAGGACTCACATGGGGAGAGAGGACACATTTCTCCAACAAACCTTTGCTGGGCCCCTGCTGAGTCTCAGGCCTGGCTGCTGGGTGCCAGCAAGAGCATCCTGCCCTTAGTGAGAACAAACAGATGAACTCCACTGCAGCTTCAGAACTGTCAGGGAGAGTCGGCCCAGGCTCCAGGGAGGGTCTATGCCAGGCTGGACATCCCTGGGCCACTGACTGCTCCCTGAGCCCCAACATTCTATTATGAATATTTGTAAATGTAACAGAAAAGTAGAGTTGTATATTGAATACCCATACACTGTCAGGTCACCACAGACCTGATAGTATTTTGTTATATTGGCTTTATCATCTATCCATCTCTCTATCCATTAATTCATCTTTTTTTTTTCTTAGAGTTTTGCTCTGTCACCGAGGCTGGAGTGCAGTGGCGTGATCTCGGCTCACTGCAAGCTCTGCCTTCCAGTTCACGCCATTCTCCTGCCTCAGCCTCCTGAGTAGCTGGGACTATAGGCGCCCGCCACCACGCCCAGCTATTTTTTGTATTTTTAGTAAAGACAGGGTTTCACTGTGTTAGCCAGGATGGTCTCAATCTCCTGACCTCATGATCCGCCCGTCTCGGCCTCCCAAAGTGCTGGGATTACAGGCGTGAGCCACTGCGCCTGGCCAATTAATCTCATTTTTTAAATGATGCGGTTTCTTTTTTTGAGACGGGGTCTAGCTCCATCGCCCAGGCTGGAATGTAGTGGTGCACTCATGGCTCACTGCAGCCTTGAAAAGGGCTCAAGTGATCCCTCCTGCCTCAGCCTTCTCAGTTGCTGGGACTACAGGTGTGTACCACCATGCCCAGATCATTTTTTAATTAAAAAACTTTTTTTTTGTAGAGACAGGGTTTCATCACGTTGCCCAGGCTGGTCTCGAACTCCTGCAATCAAGCCTCCTACCTCTGCCTCCCAAAGTTTTGGCATTACAGGCGTAAGCCACCACACCCAGCCCTGATCTATTCTTGAATCAGTTAAAGCCCTCACACTCCCGGAAGCAGGCCAGCCAATGCACCTGTTGGAATTCTACACACAGGGTGTCTTCTCCCTTCAAGCTTGGCCTGCATCTCAGTAACAAATGGGCTGCAGACACCAGGGGCTTGCCCATGGGAGCCCCAAGGCCTAGAGAAGGTGGCAGAGTTTTGATGGCTGTCACTCTCCACCTCCAACTGCAGCCTCAGTTCAGGGTCTGCCAGGCACCAAGAGCTCACACTTTGCCCTCCTAAATGCCAGGCACTTCACAAGCATCATCTCATTGTTAAGAGTGGGGGCTTCTTGGCCGAGCTCGGTGGCTCACGCCTGTAATCCCAGCACTCTGGGAGGCCGAGGTGGGCGGATCACAAAGTCAGGAGATCCAGACCATCCTGGCTAACACAGTGAAATCCCATCTCCACTAAAAATACAAAAGATTAGCCGGGCATGGTGGCGGGCGCCTGTAGTCCCAGCTACACGGGAGGCTGAGGCAGGAGAATGGTGTGAACCCGGGAGGCGGAGCTTGCAGTGAGCCAAGATTGAGCCACTGCACTCCAGCCTGGGCGAAGAGTGAGACTCTGTCTCAAAAAAAAAAAAAAAAGACTGGGGGCTTCAGTGCCAGACAAATGCAGGTTTGTGTCCAACTCAACCACGTGCTGGTGGGAGAGTCACCATCTCTGAGCAGACCTGTGACTCCTGTTCCAAACGGATGAGGAACCACTGAGATGATGTGTTAGGACTCCCAACCTGCCAGAACCTCACGGCCCCTGACCCTTCACAGCAAAGTCGACCACAGTGAGCATTCCCTCCACCAGTCAGAACACCCTGGATGCTGAGTGGCCTTCTCTGAGAGCCTGGTGCCTTTGATAGCCCTGGGAGACTCCTCTGATCCCAGCCACCAGGTTGTCACTATAGACCTAATTTAACCATCTGCCCTTGGTACCCAGGGCTCAACATTTGGAATGGGAGGTGGTTCTGGGAGCCAATTAGAGGCCAGGCTTTGGGAGGCGGCAGAGGTGAGAGCCTCACACCTGGGCTCTGTCCGATAAGTATAGGCCTGGGTCAGGGGACCTTGCCTAAAGGGCCTCTCTTGACTGGAGCGTGGGAGGTGGCTAAGTCTATACAGCTGGCCTGGCCTCAGGCCTGGAGCTTTAGCTCAAGGACGAGAAGACCCATAAAGCCAGGCCCAGCTCCCAACCTCACATCTGCCATAATGCTGCTGCTCAGCCTGACCCTAAGCCTGGTTCTCCTCGGTTCCTCCTGGGGTGAGTGGGCCAGGACCAGCCCTGATTCAGACCTGGGAACAACTCAGCTCCCAGCACTAGCCCAGGGAAGGGGCCAGGCTGGCTGGAAGGGACAAAGGTGGACAGAGTGGGCAAAGGAAACAGGATATGCCAGGGCAGGGGAGCAGGACCAGGCCTGCAGGGCTGGGAGGGGGCAAGAGGTGGGGTGGGGGAGTCTCACGAATAGGACCAGAGCTTGAGCAAGGCCCTGGAGCCCGGGAGTGTTTAGGAAGCTGAGACAGGAAGAGCTGCCCATGACTTTTACAAATAACCTTCTGGCTGCATGAAGGGTATGTACTGTTCAGGCCTGGAGCGAGCAGAGAGACCGGGGTAGAGATGGGGAACAGCGGGGACTAGGCTGGAGAAAGGTGTGAGAGAACAGAAGCACTGGGGGACTGGTTGGATGGGGATAACCAAGATAGCTGTGGGGCCCGAAGGTGCCTGCATGTACCCTGTTGGGAAAGGGGTAGTGTTGTACCCTCTTGACTGACCTATCTGGGGTGCACAGCCTCGGGCACCCAGAAGGAGGTGGGGAAAGGTGGGCTGAGGCATAGGAAGCAGGTCCTCATTAGCCCAATGGCCAGGCTGCGGTGTTCCTGCCATCAAACCAGCCCTGAGCTTCAGCCAGAGGATTGTCAACGGGGAGAATGCAGTACCAGGCTCCTGGCCCTGGCAGGTGTCCCTGCAGGTATACCACCGGAGGGATGGGCAGGGTCCTGGGTACGTCACGCCTAGGGGCAGCCTAAGCAGCCCAACCCCACTCTGACCTCTGAGCCCTGACCCCAGGACAGCAGCGGCTTCCACTTTTGCGGTGGTTCTCTCATCAGCCAGTCTTGGGTGGTCACTGCTGCCCACTGCAATGTCAGGTGAGCACCTGCACTCCACCTGCCCCGCCCCTCGCCTCTTCCTGCCTCCTCCCCTGGCTGTCCCCCTCTCGCTCTGGCCTCCCTGCAGCTGCCTAACCCCACCCCTCTGCAGCCCTGGCCGCCACTTTGTTGTCCTGGGCGAGCATGACCTATCGTCGAACGCTGAGCCCTTGCAGGTTCTGTCCATCTCTCAGGTGAGTGCCTGGGTTGCAGACACGGAGGAAAAGTGGGCAGTGCAAGTGGATGGGTGCTGGGAACGGGGAATTCAGGACACACCCTGGCCTACCCTGCTCAGCACCCATCAGCCCCAGGTGCCGGGGCCCACCCCAGCCCAACGTGGACTGTTTCTGACCCCACAGGCCATTACACACCCTAGCTGGAACCCTACCACCATGAACAATGACGTGACACTGCTGAAGCTCGCCTCACCAGCCCAGTACACAACACGCATCTCGCCAGTTTGCCTGGCATCCTCAAACGAGGCTCTGACTGAAGGCCTCACATGTGTCACCACCGGCTGGGGTCGCCTCAGTGGCGTGGGTAGGAACTCAGGCCAAAGCCCAGGGTGGGAGGACTGGGGTGGGGACCAGTGTTCTGGGCCCCACCTGACTACCCCTCCTGGCCCACAGGCAATGTGACACCAGCACGTCTGCAGCAGGTGGCTTTGCCCCTGGTCACTGTGAATCAGTGCCGGCAGTACTGGGGCTCAGATATCACTGACTCCATGATCTGTGCAGGTGGCGCAGGTGCTTCCTCATGCCAGGTGAGCCCCAGCACCCGGTCCTCTGCGCTGTCCTGTGGCACACCTCCCCAATCCCCCACACTCACTTCTCCCTCCCTCTTCCCTCTCAGGGTGACTCCGGAGGCCCTCTTGTCTGCCAGAAGGGAAACACGTGGGTGCTTATTGGTATTGTCTCCTGGGGTACCAAAAACTGCAATGTGCGCGCACCTGCCGTGTATACTCGAGTTAGCAAGTTCAGCGCCTGGATCAACCAGGTCATTGCCTACAACTGAGCCCACCAAAAGCCCCTCCCCAGCTCAACCCATTAAAGACCCAGGCCCTGTCCCATCATGCATTCGTGTCTGTCTTCCTGGCTCAGGAGAAAGCAGAGGCTGTTGAGGGTTCGACTCCCTACTTGGACTTCTGGCATGGACGGGGCTGAGTGGCTCCTTGAGTAGCAGTGGCTCTTCCTAGAGTAGTCATGCCCAGGCCAGGGACCCCACCCCTCCTCCAGGGCAACCCCTTGGTCCTACAGCAAGAAGCCAGAGCTGTTGGAATGAATGGCAGCCCTCCCTGGAGAGGCAGCCTGTTTACTGAATACAGAGGATACATTTACAAACTGAATACGCATAATAAATAACTGCACATTCTCCATCCACGGTCCATGGCATGAAGGCCCAAGTGGGTCTATCAAAGGCCCACATCTCCAAACCCCCTGTCCCGCCCTCAGGACCAGGCCCACCCTGGGCGAGAGAGAACATAATCCCCAGAGCTTCAGGTCCTCAGAGACAGTTAGGGAACTGGGAGGAAATCCTGAGGCCATGGGGCTTGGTTCTCCACTGCCTCCTGCCCAGGGGGCAGTGAGGACGGCAGGAGGGTGTGTCTAAGGCACAGTTGACTTGGCACAGAGTGGTCTCTTTAGTTTTGTTTCCCACTGTAGGTGGCACATGCAGGAAGAGGAGGGCCTGGCCCAGGCTGCCAACTGGCAGAAGCTGAGTGGGAGCCAAACCCTCCCCCAATGCCAGGGGCCCTGCAGTTGACCCAAGGCCAAAGCTGGGCCCTGGCCCCATTCTACCCACTGAAGGCAGCTGTGGAGGGAGGGGCTTGGGTTCCAGCCTGGTTTGTGGTGGGGGAGATACCACAACAGAAATGGGGACGGTTCTGCCTCAGGCCTCTGGGAAAGCAGCCACCCAACCCCACCCACCTCCCACAGGGGCTCCTTCCAGCTTTCGACTCAGCGGGACCCAGACTGGAAGGTTAATGCTGTGAAGGGAAGCAGCACAGGGTGGATGGGGCAAGGCCAGGTGTCAGAAGGCAGTGCCCCAGGCACCCAGGGTTCAGAGGCAGATCACACAGTATGGCTAAGTTCCAGGGAGGGGTGCGCAGAAGCTCAGCAGAAGGGGAGAGGTGAGCAGCCTGGGACCCTCCCCCAGGGCAGCAACTCCTACCTTCCCATGTCTTCGTGGAGGACTACGGGTGTGCACGATGAGCGGGTGTGCACGATGAGCGGGTGTGCACGATGGGTGTGCAGTGATCACTCCCAGGTTGCCAACACCCATGCAGACACCAGATGGCGTCTTTGTGCAGCTGCAGAGGAGGGAGCGACAGACCCTGAAGGGAAAGGGCAATGGGCTGCACCAAAGGATAGAACCCAGGCTGACACTGGACCCTAATAGGGAGGGGCCCCCTGCCCTCTGCCTTGGCCCCCAGGTGCCCTATCCCCCAGGTAGCAGCAGTGGGGCTCCCTTTAACCCCTCCCAGTTGGGAAGGAGGCACCTGGGGAATGGAATGAACATCCAATGGGGAGAGGGAGGTAGCAGTAGACTCTACAAAGAAGGCACCAAGGGCAGTGGGCTGGTGGGCAGAGACCCCTCAGAGTCTGAAGAGGTTGAAGCCTGGGCAAGCCGACGACCAGCATGGCCACAGAGTCCAGAAGGGTGAAAGTCCACGCCATGGCCCTATCACCAGAGGTCCTGGGACCAGGAAGGCTCCCTCAGGGCACCATGAAGGAAGACAGATCTTGATTGCGAGGTGGAGGGTTGTTTGGATCTAGCTAGGGGCTACGGTTTCAGTCAAGGCACAAGCTTTGTGCCTACCAGGGTCTCCCACTGGAGCACAATCTGAAGGATCAGGATGCATGGGAATGTGTGGAGCCAGGGAGAGGGGCTCTGTGGAGGAAAGGGGGTCCCAGAAGTAACTGTCCCAAAGGGTCCTGAGGCCACAGGACACTTCACCCAGCACTGCAGGCCCCTTTGATTTGGGAAGAGTCAAAGGGCAAGGGAGACAGTGAAGGCCAGGTCCTATCCCTTCCCAGCTCCACCAGAGCAGCTGCCCACCAAGAGGGGTATCAGTGCCAAGCCAGGCTCTCAGTTCAGGGGGAGTCACAGCCCCCTGGGCTACCTCCACTCTGTCACACCTGGCCCAGGTCCATAGTGAGGACAGGGGCTGCTGAGGGCACAGAGAAAGGGCCGGAGCCAGACATTCTTCACCTACTGCGGGCTACATGAGCCTATCTCCAGAGAGGGCATCAGGCACAGATGGCACCGCAGTGTGTGGCCAGGCTGGGCCATGCTGCATGTATGCAGAGCCAGGCGGCTCAGCCATTGTACTGCTGTTGGTAGCGCAGGTTGAGCTCCCGCAGCTCCCGCTCCCGCACACGGCGTGACTTGTTGGAGCGTGTGGAGCGGCTGGAACGCGTGGACTGGGCAGATTTGGTGCTCTGGCAGCGTGAGGAGGCACGTTTGAGGAGGTTCTGGGATATGGAGCGGTGCAGGTTCTTCATGGATGAAGAGGCAGCCATGCTCACCACCCACGGGTGCCTCAGGGCCTGCAGTGCAGTCATACGGGCTCCAGGGTCCACTGTCAGCAGGCGGTCAATGAAGTCCTTGGCCAGGTTGGACACACTAGGCCAGGGCTAGAGACCAAGGACAAGCATAAGAGTGAGAGTATCCGACACTGCCCACCCCATCTGGATGAGGCCACTACCCAGCATCCCTCCACTTTCCTGAGGTGCTGCCCCTCCTCTCATGTAGTGCTTGGGGCCTCCCTGCCCAACGCTGGCCCAGGCTGAACAGGGGCTGCTCTCCAGGTGATGGAGTCTGGCAAGGAAGGAAAGGACCCGTCCACTCTCCCAGGGAGCAAACTTCTATGGTGCACCGGACCCAAAGCCTGGCTCAGGGAGATGGCCTCTGCCAAGACCCCCCAACCTGCCCCAGGAGTATCGTAACTCAGGGGAATGTAAGAGAATGACTCAAACTTTTCCACCACATCCTAAGTCAGATTGAAGCTCCAATCTCTGGATGACCAGGATCAGGCCACTTAGAGGGGAACTTTCCAGTCCTTACAGAGAAGGTCCAACCTCTCTCCAACTGCCAAAGCAGTGGTAGGAGACCACTACTCCCTGCCTCAACCTCCCAGCGTGGGGAGAAAAGGAAACAACTCAAGGCAACTAGATTTCCCCGTTGGCTGAGGGCAGGTACTCCCGGGACCAGGCAGGAACCAGGACCCTTCTCAGCGGCACCCTCCAGCCCTCATTACTTCTCTAAGCCACAAAGGGCTCCTGGCAGTGCTGTGCGCCAGCCTCATTTTTTTTTTTTTTTTTTTGAGATGGAGTTCTTGCTCTGTCACCCAGTCTGGAGTTGCAGTGGCCGGATCTCAGCTCACTGCAAGCTCCGCCTCCTGGGTTTACGCCATCCTGCCTCAGCCTCCCGAGTAGTTGGACTACAGGCACCCGCCACCTCGCCCGGCTAGTTTTGTATTTTTTTTTTTTTTGAGACGGAGTCTCGCTCTGTCGCCCGCTGGAGTGCAGTGGGCTCGGATCTCGGCCCATGCAAGCTCCGGCCGTCCCGGGTTT